TGAAACGTCAACTTTCCTGCTCCTCTGATGCTGCCTGGCCTGTTCTGCTCCTCCAGCTTCACACTGTGTTATCAGCAAGCTTCAAGTCTATTTTGGGGAAGGTGTTAGAGCTGATTGTTAAAGAGATTATAGAAAAACTCTGGTTGATCAGGAAGATTTAGGATGGTTTCATTAAAGGGAAATCATGTCTAACCAATTTGTTGGAAGAATTAACATGTGCTGTGGATAAAGGGGAACCAGTAGACACAGCATCCTTGGATTTTCAGAAGGCACTTGATAAAAGCTCAAGGTATAGAGGTAACATTTGTGTAGATAGAAGATTGTCTGTCTGGCTGGGAGAAAACAGTACTGTAAATATATCTGTTTGGTAGAATGTGATTGATGAGTGAGGTCTTGCAGGGATCTCTGCCTAACTTTTGCAAATGATTTAGTTACTCCGTCTTCACACTCCACATTTTTGTTTGCAGATAACATCAAGGTAGGTAGGAAAGTATGTTGTGAAGAAGAAATAACGAAGTTAAAAATGGTTATGGGTAAGTTAGTGAGCGGGTAAAAATCTGGCAGCTGGAGTATAGTATGGGAAAATGTGAAGCTGTTCACTTTTTTACAGGAAAAAATGAAAAAGCAGAGTACTACATATAAATGGAGAACCTCTGCAGAATTCCATGCTAGTTCTAACACACAAGTCACAAAATATATGCAGCTACCACACGTGATTAAGGATAATTAATTACAGGCAGCATGGTAACTCGGTGGTTAGCACTGCTGCCTCACTGCACCAGGGACCTGGATTCAATTCCACCCTCTGGCAACTGACAGTGTGGTGTTTGCACATTCTCACCCTGTCTGCATGGGGTTCCTCCGGGTGCTCCAGTTTCCTCCCACAGTCCAAAGATGTGTAGGTTAGGTGGATTGCCCATGCCAAATTTCCCCATAATGTTCTGGGATGTGTAGGTTGGGTGTATTAGTGATGAAAACTGTAGGGTTACAGGGATAGTGGGTGGATCTGGGTGGGATGCTTGTGGGAGGGTCAGTGTGCATTTAATGGGCTGAATGGCCTGTTTCCACACTGTAGGGATTCCGTGATTCAATGATAATGGGGTGCTATCCTTTATTAGAGGAATTTAACATAAAAGTAAGAATGTTACGCTTCTCTTATACAGGCCATATATGAGACCGTGTCATGAATATTCTGTGCGCTTTTGGAAGCCTTATTTAAGGAGGGATTACCACCAGTTAAGCCAGTTCAGAGGATGTTCTCTGGGATAAGTGAATTATCATATGGGGATAAAGTGAACAAGCTAGGCTTGTTTTCATTGGAATATAAGAGTGAAGGTGATTTGATAGAAGATCCTAAATAGTTTTGACAAGGTGAATATTGAAAGGAATGTTTTTCTTTTGTGGGTCAGTCCAGAGACACGATTTAAAATTAAATGTTGCCTTTCTGAAGCACAGATGAGAATCTTTTTCTGAAGGTTGTGTAACTTTGGAACTCTCCTGTCTGATGGCAATGGAATTGGGCTCGTTGAGTGTTTTTAAGGCCAAAGTGGATATATTCTTGTTAAACAGGAGCATTGAAGGTTAGTGGGAGTAGATGGGAATGTAGAAATTGAACACACACAGATTAGCGGTGATGTAATTGAATGGTAAAGCAGAATAATCTACTACTCTTATTGTGTATGTTTGTACGTATTTTCTAAATGTGGGGGTGAGCAGTTTAGATGGTGACTAGCATGCCAGCCCCACCACTGAGACAACGTCAGCCTTTTATCCATCTATCAATTCATTAAGAGTTGATAGGGGAGATACCTGCCTGTGAACTACCTATTAGGCACCTCAGCGCTGATTACCAGAAGCTGCTGATTTAACGAGAGGCCAGCAGCTTTGGAATCATAACCATAACCAGTTGAGATCTTGTCTGGAGGGGATGCAGTGACGAAAAAGTCTTTTTTTGAAGAAATCTGGAGGATCAAAGCCATACTGTTGTCTGCTATCCATACCTCTGATTGCAGGCAATTTGGAGCTCCCCTCCCCTAAAAAAAATTCAACACGTAGGTCACCGACATTTTCCAAATTAGCCACCTTTCTCACCCACCAGGAAGGCAGGAAATCAGGAGGTGGTGAATTGCGGCCCTTACTGTTTTGAGCAACAACATGCAATGGTGAGGAAGACCTTTTTATTGCATGGGACACTCTGCCTGTAAATGTGTAGGAAATTGAGATCGTAAATGTTTTGCAAAGACGTTTATGCTTAGATGGGCACTTGAGGGAAATAAGTTTATCGTACTGCAGTAATAGAACAAGAAATTTGACTGATTAGATTGCAATGAAGAAAGCCAGTACAGTCTTCCATGCTTTAATGGGCAGATGGGGCTAGTTTAGTTTGGGATTATATTCGGCATGGACTGTTTGGACCGAAGGGTCTGTTTCTGTGCTGTATCACTCTATGATTCTGATTCTGTTATGAACTTTTGACTGTCTTTACATATGTACATGTGATTTTGAAGAGGTTTTTAAAAAGCAGGAGATGGAAAGGTGAAAGAAGTAGCAGTTTTCAGAGAACAGGAACATGGTGCATGAACATGTAGTGATTTGTGGTTAAACAGTGGGAAAGGAAAATAAACTATTCAAGAAGTGGCACGCTGAGCAACGAAGTACTGAAGACAGTATGAGAAATGAAGTAGGGATTGAAGTGGGGGAGTGAGAATTCTGAAATTTATCTGCAAATCTAATGAAGTTTATATAGGATAGGAATGATAGAAGGATACAACTTTATGGGTGAGGGCACTAGCTGAGATGCTTTGGATGAAGGTACAGGCTGAAGCATTTTGGGTGAGTGCTTAGACTGGTGCTGAGATCTGGGTAAGGAAGAATGGGAGAAGTCACAAGGTATTCAAGATTTGGACTGCTGTTTTCATATTTTCAGGCAGTGTTCTTGGACACTGAACTGATGTAGATTAGTATTTATCTATAGGTAATTTGTATCCAATCAATGTTGAGTATTGAAATTTGAATTAATGTGTAAGCATTCACAATATAATGTGCATTTCAAGTTACCATTCATCAAGCAGACCTGTAATATGTGGTAACTCTAACCATTTGCTCTGGGGAAGTCTGAGGAAAACCCATGTACTCATCATAAAATGAGTTTTACTGAGTTCATGGATTTACTAGAATTCACATTCTGTTTAACTGAGAAATCCATTTGTCATTTTTCCAGCATCAATTCTGGCTTCCCAGAAAAATGCCAGATGGTATCACACTTGGGAATACTTCAAATATTTGCATATGGTATATTTTCAAGCTATGTGCTTTTATTGCAGGCCAGTCTGTCTTGATATTGGTCATTGCAACTCTGGGGGTCAGAACGTTATTGTTTCAAAAGTTTTTGCAGATCACAGGTAGATAATTTAGACCGAGCAAAACCATGACTTTTACAATATTAGTGTTTTCTACTATCTGCCTGTCCAGTGCTAAGGTGCATCTTCACTCTGCAGTGAAGTACCAATCTCATTTGCAGATATCAAAGAAGGTTACTACTTTCTTGCCTGAGTTTGGATGCCTCTGCCTTAGAGGAAAATTTGCCTTGATATTTTACTTTTGGTGATGTTTTTTATTGAGGGTGGGTGAACTGAAGGTCTTGCACAAGAGAACAGGCTTGTATCCATGTTTGGTCCTCTGAGTCAGAAGGTTCTAGATTCACTTACAACTTCAGGACTCGAGCACAGAAATCTAGACCAACATTCCAGTGCAGAATTGAGGGAGTGCTGTTAACAGCAGTTTTTGAGACACCAAAGCCTTACCAGGTAGGTACAAAGGATCCTATGGAGTTCATTTCAAAAGTTATCAGTAAAGGTATCCCTGGTGTTCTGGCAATCTTTATTCCTCAATCATTATCACAAAAACCAGATTGTGAGTCAATATTATTTTGTTTTTTGTTGACTGCAATTCATCTGCTACATTTCCTACATTGCCAAAAATATTTCAAAATTGCTTAAATGGCTGCAGAACGTTGTGGGACACCGAGTTTATGAAAAGCCTAATAGCAAAGTATAAGTCTTTCTTTTCTATCTGCTAGTTTGTTTACACATAGGACGCTCTATGTCCAGAAAGTCTCATATTCATACTTGCTGGTGAACTTGCCCAGTATTGTCATGCATGCCATAATCTAGAGATTAAATTGAAACATAATGTAAATGGCAAAAATAAATTATTTGCTTTGTTCAGTATGAGGCAGACGTATTATATAGCTGTTCCTGGTAACTTTAACATTCAAATTGATAGTTCGCTCAGACTAAATCAACTCAGTTATTTAATTGCTGTTTGTTTTCTCTGCTTTTTGACAGAAGAAAATGTTGCAAAGTGGCCGGAGGTAATGTTTTTGCTCCTGTTTTTTAAGTCTGTTTAATTTGAGAAATGTTGTTGACCAGTAATGTACAGATTTCAACAGAACTTCGTAAACTGGGTGTGGCATAAGAAAGAACAGATCAGTTTTTGGCGAAGTTGCAGATCCAGACCTTGGAATCCTTGAACATTTGGACAATAAAGAAACTTCTTTTTAAGGATGTTGTGTGTTGTTTGACATAGATTTGTTGTGGGTCTTCTCAACCTTTTGGTATTTAGCTGTTGAAATATCAGGAGATTTCAGAGCAGCTTGAAGGATGCGGATTGTTCAGTAGTGGTCTCTGAGATGGAAGCTCTTAATAAAAAAAGTTGATTTTTTTTTTCAGGAATGTAAACAAAGGTTGGTAAGTTCAGCAGACCTGGCATTGTCAATGGTGAGAGGGGGGGAGAAAAAGTAACATCTCCAATCTAATGACTCCTGGTCTGAAAAAGACTCCAGAGAAGAGATCTTGAACCCTATATTATCTCATTTCTCTTTCCGCAGTTGCTGCCAGATCTGCTAAGTTTCTCTATTACTTGGTTTTTGTTCCCGATCTTGAGTAGCTGCAGTATTTTGCTTTTCAGTTTTGTATTTACAGAGCACCAACCAGAAAGCCTGCTGAAAGAGCTGTGCAATTGTGATAATGTTAAAACCATGGGTAGATATAGGTACTGTACTGTGTGTCTCATTTAAGTGTTCAAGGCGGGCACAGTCCTGTCTTTTACAGTCATAGAGTCGTACAGGTCCACCTTGTGCACGCCAACCAGACCTGCCAATCTGACCTAGTCCCATTTGGCCCATATGCGTCTAAAACCACTTCTATTCACATACCCATCCAGATGCCTTTTTAAATGTTGTAATTGTACCAGCCTCCTCCACTTCCTCTGACAACTCATTCTATACACACCACCTGCTGCATGAGAAAGTTGCCCCTTAGGTCCCTTTTAAATCTTTTCCCTCTCACCTTAAACCTATGGCAAGCAGTTTTGGACTTTCCTGCCTTGGGAAAAAGGCCTTGGCTATTCACCCTAACCGTGCCACTCATGACTTTATAGAGGTTTATAAAATCACCCCTCAGCTTCTGGCACTCCAGGGGAAAAGTGCCAGCCTATTCAGCCTCTTTCTATTGCTCAAACCCTTCAGTTCCAGCAACATCCTTCTAAGTCTTTTCTGCACCCTTTCAAGTTCAACAACACTCTTCGTATAGAAGGACAGCCAGAATTGTACGCAGTATTCTAAAAGTGGCCTCACCAATGTCCTGCACAGCTGAAACATAATGTCCCAACTGCTATACTCAATGTTCTGAGCAATGAAGGAAAGTGTGCCAAATGCCTCTTTACCACTCACTCTACCTCCGACTCCACTTCCAAGGAACTATGCGCCTGCAGCCTAGGTCTCTTTGTTCAGCAACACTCCCCAGGGCCCTACCATTAACTGTGTCAGTCCTGCCCTGGTTTCTTACCAAAATACAACATCTTACATTTATCTAAATTAAACTCCATCTGCCACTCCTAAGCCCACTGACCCATCTGATCAAGGTCCCATTGTACTCTGAGATAACTTTAATATCCAAAATCTTTGTGTCACAGCTGGTCACAAGCTTCCGGTCTAAAAAGCAACCCTCTACCACCCCTATGTCTCCTGCCTTCAATAAAATTTTGTATCCAATTGGCTAGCTCACTCTGAATCCCATATGGTCTAATTTTACTAACCAGTCTACCATGTGGAACCTTGTTGCATGCTTTGCTTGAAGTCCATGTAGACATCTACCACTCTGCCTTTATCAATTTTCTTTGTCACCCCTTCTGAAAAATGAATCAAGTTAGCGAGACACAATTTCCTCTCGCACAAAGCCATGTTGACTATCCCTAATCAGTCCTTGCCTTTCCAAATACATGTAAATCCTTTCCCTCAGAATCCCCTCCAACAACTTACCCACTATTAACATCGGGCTGACTAGTCTATAGTTCCCTGGCTTTTCCTCACAGCCTTTCTTAAATAATGGCACCACATTAGCCAACCATCAGTCTTCCGTCACCTCACCTGTGGCTGTCGATGATACAGATATCTCAGCAAGGGGTCCAGCCATCTCTTTGTGGGAAGCGACGGAAGTTCTGGAAAACACCTGATCGGGTCCTGGGGATTTATCCATCTTTGTGCTTTAAGACCTTCAGCACCACCATCTGTGCAATATAAACTCTTTTCAAGACGTCACTATTTATTTTCCCCAAGTTCCCTAGCTTCTATGTCCTTCCCCACAGGAAATACTGATGTGAAATATTCATTTAATAACTCACCCATCTGCTGTGGTTCCATACACAAATGGCTACATTGATCTTTAAGGGGCCCCATTCTCTCTTTAGTTACTCCTTTGCCCTTAACGTACTTATAGAATCTCTTTTTTATATTCTCCGTTACCCAATTTGCCAAAGCTATCTCATGTCCCGTTCTTGCCCTTCTGATTTCCCTCTTAAGTATACATCTACTGCCCTTGTAATCTTTAGGGGTTCTCTAGATCCCAGCTGTCTATACCTGATATGTCTCCTTCCTTTTCTTCACCTGAGCCTCAATTTCTCTTGACATCCAGTATTCCCTACACTTAGCAGCCTTGCCCTTCATCCTAACAAGAACATACTGTTTCCGAACTCTCATTATTTCATTCTTAAAGGCCTCCCATTTTGCAACCATCCCTTTACCTGTGAATAGCCTCCCGCAGTCAACTTTTGAAAGTTCCTTTCTAATACGGTCAAAATTGGCCTTACTGTAGTTTAGAACTTTAACTTTTTGATCAGTTTTATCCTTTTCTATGACTATATAAAGCTAATAGAATTATGATCACTTGTCCAAAAGACCCCCTCTGAAACCTCAGTCACTTGCCCTGCCGTATTCATGAACAGAAGGTCAAGTATTGCTTCTTCTCTAGTAGGTACATCCACAGATTTGAATAAGAAATTTTTCTTGTGCACACTGAACAAATTCCTCCCCATCCCAGCCCTTGACACTGACCGTCTCAGTCTATGTTTGGAAAGTTAAAATCCCCTACTTATTACAACCCTATTATTCTTACAGATATCTGACATCTCCTTACACAATAGCTTTTCAAATTCCCACTGACTATTGCCTACTAATTCCCTGCCATCTTTTAACTGCTGTTTAGCATCACCATCAAATTTGTCATTCACCATTTTAAAATTTTCACTGCTTTCCTGGCCCACTATTGCGTTCCAAGCCTTTACTTGACCTGTACTTGGGCTTAGAATACATATTCAAGAGCCCATATCCCTGATATTCCAATCATCCTTTCCCTGTGCACTGTTCTTGTGTCCATCCTAGTATTCCCAAATACCTTCCCCCTGCTTCCAGATCCAACAAGCTATCAAGTACCTGCTTGGTAGTACAAAGCTTGAATGTTGCTGATAAAGGAGACATGATTTCAAAGTTGTTCATCTTGCACTGATCAGGACAGAATCACAAGAATGCCAAATCTCAGTGAACAATACGTTTCCAATCTTGCCATATTTTCACACTTGATTTCCCAGGCCTTTAAGGGGCTGGGAAAGTTGAGCCCATGGTGTCAATACTTTCTAAACTATCTGAGATAAATTGGTTATTTTTGCAATTGTTAAGATTAATAGTCAGGATTACAGACTGGCACATTTATGCTTGCTAGAAGCTATTCATATCTTTTAAACAAGCTATCATTGCCCCAGTTTCTAGCACCACTCAGTTCTTCAAAGTCGCATTTATTCCTCAGACCCACTCGGTTTCCAGACTGAGTATAATGTGGAAAATGTGAAATTTTCTATTTTGGAAAAAGGTTTTAAAAAAGGAACAAATTATTTAAATGATGAGAGATTGCAGAGGGGTCTGGGTGCCCTAGGACATGATTGGCAAAAGATTAATGTGCAAAATACAGCAAATAATTAGGAAAGCAAAATAAGTTATCATTTATTGTAAGGGGAATTGAATACGAAAGACACGGCACTGGAATGCTGTGTACAGTATTAGTTGCCTTAATCAAGAAGGGAAGTAAATGAGTTGGAAGCAATGCTGAGAAGATTTGCTAGACCGTAATCCATGGAAAGGGCATGTTGCCTTATGAGGAAAAGTTGTTGGATAGGCTGGGCTTGTATCTGCTGGAGTTTAGCAGAGTAAGAGGTGACTTGATTGAAATGTATGAGTTTCTGAGGGGTCTTAACAAGGTAGGTGTGGAGAGGATATAGTCACTGTTTAAACATTGTTAGTCACAGGTTCCATTTAAAACAAATTAGGCAAAAAAAAAGTTTTCAGAGGCTCATGACTCTTTGGAACTCTATTTTTAAAAAAAATGGTAGAAGCAGAGTCTGTCAATATTTTTAAAGCCAAAGTGGGTAGATTCTTGGTAAGCAAGGTAGGTGAGAATGTGAATTTGTAGTTATAATCAGTCCTGATTTTGTTAAATGGCAGAGTACGCTTGAGGGGCCAAATGGCCTACTGCTGCTCCTTGTTTATGCGCAAAACCAATCTCTCCCTAACTGTTCTTTCACCAATTAAATTGTTCAGTCGCCATAGAACCAGAACCCCACTGCCTCCTTACTGATACAGAAACCAATAAAATCTTCCACAATTTGGGCTTTTCTCATATTAGCTTTTCCCAGTGCACTCATACACCAGGATCAGTCACCACTCAGCAGCACACTTGCCCCCTTACTCTCTTGCCTACCTGCTTACTGTCAGATTGCAACACATTCTCCATTCTCCGACTTCAGCCTCTAAATCTCTGCCTCAAACAGAAATGGAAAAAG